CGGCGCTTCTGGTGCTCCTTCTGTTAATTTTATAATTAGACTTCAATTCCTGAGTTCGTGGAATTCCTGTTTTCTCTATTCGGGCCCTGCGATTGGATTCTACGACCATGCGCAACCTTATTCTTTTGGTCATCGCCCAGATTTGTGACAACACATAAGGACTGGAACAAACAGAATTGAAAGGTTGTTCCCACTTCACCATGACATACCATTGGAGTTACCATTGCTGATTAAACAGCCCCAGATAATCTGTCCAGCTCTTCCTCCAACTTGCTATCACTTGTAACCCAGATCCTGTAATATTCCTCCACCACAGGGAGGGACGCATCCCTGACCCTCTTGTGACCATTCCAAAGTTTTTATGTTTGAAAATGGTCACCTTGGATACAGTAGACCTTACTCTACCAGATGCTATATCTTAGGCTGAAAAGTGCAACAGTGTGTAGCGAAGGTGTTGGCCAACAGAACCATACCATCTGCAAAAAGCAGAGATATGACCCTCAAATTCCCAACCAAGCTCCCTCTGCTATACCATGAGGTCCATGAGTCAACAACAGGACTGGTGGGATGTGGCAGCCCAGACCAAATCCATCATCCACTGTAAACGGATTCAACCTGATGCAACCACTGCTCACCTAGGAAGGAACCCGAATGGCTTTAAAAAACAATTCCGTAACCCTTAATACTCCCTACAGAAACCATTGGGGTACATGGTCATGACTTTCTCCAAGTGGATGGTCAAATTCCCAAGACCCCCTCAGCAAATCTGCAAGAGTAACTATATGTTTATTGGTAAACAACCTGGGGAAAATCGATACGGCTTTTCCTGAATATGACTTTTGACATTGGGTCAGAGCCTCCACTCCAATATTCTTGAGCAAACTTTCCCCTGGAAGGGTGAATCTTGTGATCCCCCTTTAGTTAATGCATATCTTCCAACCGTTTTTTTTTTAAAGTGGGAACTACCACTCTAGTTTTGCAACTCCTCAGGGTTTGTCCTAGACTTTCTGTCTAATCTATTCTCCTAGAGTTCCTAGCTCCCCTCGCTGCTAGTACCAACTGGCAGGTCCTCAGGTTAGCAACATGAACGAAACGGATACTCTTTAAGCAACTGATCCCTGGAAGTTGCATTAACATGGAGTTCCAGTAAAAAAGCCACTTACTATGGACAGGGAATCCTTACCATATAGTCCCAGTTCAGCATTGGAATCCATTTTGGTTTTCTAGGTCTGCTACCTTCCTTAAATCCACTTCCTACCAGGTAGTGACCAGCTAACAGCTCATCCTATCTTTTCACTGGATTGCCTATGACTCACATCATCAAGTCTTATGATTATACTACAAAGTTGGGCGACCTTCTATCAAAGGTGGCCTGGTACCCGGTACCCTTATGAACTAGCTTATGGTTGAACATGGTGTCTGTAGTGGACAATGCATGACTTCCCAATCACAACTCCAAGGTCCATCTTTCACCCTACCCGCTAACTTTTACTGCAGATGCAACCAGGCCCTGTATCATCCTACAGGGGTCTCCAAACAACAAAGACATCTAAAGACGCCTGCCGTGTAGCAGGACTTGGGGATGCAAGTCGGAATTTGGCCAATCAACAAGGAGGAATCTTTTCCCCCCGGACTGTCCGCCTGCTAAACCTGGCACAGTGGACTCAAAGCCAATACAACTGTCCACTATCGCCTGTACATTTCTATATATGATTTACTTTATTTAGTTTTGATTGAACTTTGATTGATTTAATTCAGATAAAAGTCTTGAATATTTCTGTAACACGACCAATTCTTGCTGACAGTTTCATTATTCAGTCATGCATTTAAAAGAAATAAACCAAAACCACTGTGAATTGTCGCTTTAGTAGTTATCTTTCAACACCAAAACAAATATAAACAAATGGTACCAACAAAGTTCCTGGGACTACTTATGAACAAAAGAACCTCTCCCGACCATCTGGGGTTCTGATATATTAATAGTCTTAACACGTTTTTAAAACAAACATTTGCTATAACTTCTTTAAAACTAATAAAAAGTATAATTCAGAGACATCTAAAATTATTACTACAAGTATTTTGAACTTTTAATTCGGGATTCCCATCATAGGGAAAGGTAAATTATGTTTATCTTAAAAAACATTCAAATGAGAAGTGATAAGATATTGCATAATCCTTATTGCCTCATTGCGATTAGGGAAAATGTCTGAATTACAACTATCGAATCAGATACAACTGGAAGTCCACAAGTCAAAGACACAAATCAACCACTGAGGATTTTGTTTTTGGAGTGAAACCTTTAGGTCTGATTGTATTAATAGTGATGGTCCTGTTTAAAACAAACAAACAAACAAAAAAAACAGTCACAATAAACTACATAGAAACCCAGCTATTAAGGTCTACGACATCTTAAATATCTAAACAACACAGTACTTATCTGTAATACTAATTGTCATTAAAAATGGTTGTTATTGTATAAGGTAAGCTCTTCAACAAGCAATCTCAATGATTTCTTACCATATAATTGTTCATTTATGAATGTAATAAAAGCATAATTTATATTCAATATACATTAATACCAAATCAATATAACCTCAAATCAGAAATAAATCAACCAGATACTGTCTGCATCATTATTTACATCTTAACTTTATGAATGAAGACACCTCATGTATCAGATAATGTGGGAAGAAATTTCCCAAATCTTTAATTAAAAAAGTGTCATATCAGATTATTTATGAAGTGAAATGTCTCCTACATGCTCAACCAACCCATGTACTTAAGTTTAGAAGTTGCTTATGTGCAGTTAGAAAGTTATGCGAGACATAAAAAAACACAAAAAAACAATCATGAATTCAGTTAAAGATTCTGGAACAAAAAATAAATACATATAGTTGCATTTATACCGGAATTACCCAGTCAAAAGCAGCTCTGATTATTAACATACAAACTGATTTGGAAACCAATACTACTGCTTTTGAGTTACCTTAGATTTTCAAAACCATTTATAAGTACGGGTTTGTTACTTTAACAATTATTATATAGTTAAAATATTCAAATTTCAGCGGGAAAAGAAGATGAAATCATAACAATTCCAATGTAGTTCTATACTGAATGTGAATAAAGTGTAAGTTATGACTTAAAAGATTTAAAATGAGCACATCATTCAGCCATCATGATCTATGATGTAACACAGTTCAAAATCTGGTGTCAAACAAATGGCAAAAATCATTATTCATCTTTGTCATGCGGTAGATTAAAAGTAATTTCTTTGGATTACTTCCACAGAGCACTAAAACAGCCTGACAAAGACAGACATGTAATGAGGAGGAGGGGGGGGGGGGGGCTGCATCATGCCACAGCCCCAACAAATCCCATTGACTCCTGTCGAGATGAGACGTTTAGCTCTGGTTTAAGGTTTAGGACAGGTGTAAACATAGACCTGAGCCAACAGTGACAACATCCTTCCTTTTAATAACCGTTTCGGTATCACGTTTCTTGACCACAGACACGGAGATCCCGGCTGCTGGTCTGACCCGGGCGGACATATCTGGGCCGATGTCCAAACTAACAGCGCTCGTTCCGCCACCGACCTGTGCTTTTACGCACAGAACATGGAGCAGGAGCTCTCCCGCAGCCTGCAGCCACCCTGCAGGCTGCAGACCTCCCCGGTCCCCCCCAATACCGTGCACGGTGCACGGTGCAACCTGCGACACCAGGCACCCAGATCCACTTTGGCTCGTGGTCGTGACAAGAAACTACCTGCGACAAGCAGGCTTCAAAAGAAAGCTGTTTTTTTTTTTGTTGGCATACCTAATTAGTAGCCTATGTCTTAAGTTCTCCCTCCATTTTGCAACTTTATTGACCAGCAATTTCTTCTTTCTTTAAGCAGCTTCGATGTGCGCCAAAGCCCAACTATCATCCTTTTCCTGTCGATTTACAATCTAAAAACGTCCCAAAGTGCGATAACACACACGGTCCACGGGCTAAAAACGGAGCGGAGGGGAAAAAAAAAAAAAAGTGACCAAATATTCGCTGTGCATGCTACACGGCAGCTTTTGGTGTTGCCAGTTTCAAAAAGAGATGCTTGAATCAGTGTGCAGTCAACTTTGCTAACGATGTGAGTCTGAAAAGTTCAGAGAAAAGTAAGCGAGGCGATCCAGCAAATTTGTGTCAACTCCAGAATATGAGTGCGCATGTTTTTGGCCGTGATCATCGCACGGTCGTTGTCATTGAATAAAAATAAATAAAAATAAACTCAGTAAGGAGGCTGTTTTCATGTTAACTCAACTTTCTGTCACTCTCCTGATTCATGTGACCCTTAATGTTCGTGGACACGCACCGTGAGACTAATATCACCAGTGACATAATTTATTTATTTATTTTTTTAATTACTAATGCCCTCCCTTAGCTTTCTCAGTGGTCCGAAACTGGGTACTGATTAACACAAACTTTTTTTTTTTTTTCTCCAGCTCACCCTTCTCTCATAATTTAAATAACCCCGATATTTTAAATCAAGAACTGAGTAACCGGCACTTTAATTTACATCAAACTTACCCCGGACGCTTCAACATCCTTTCTGTTGAATTTTTCTGGACTTTCAACTATTTTCCGAATTTTTAATAATTTTTTTCTCATATTTTTTGCGAGACGCGGCGGGCCTGAAAATTGTTTGCTTTCTCCTCTTTCGAGCAGCCATTGTGTATGCGCTGCGATGCAACCGCACTTGGCCTTGACCACGCCCACACGAAAATGTTCCACACACTTGTGCTTTTTGATTTGCGCGTGGTGCTGTCACTCCCGCTTCAGTATCACTTACAGGCTCTTTCATTAAAACCTAATTTTTGGACTTGCTAGATGTACTGTCAATCGTTAAAACTTTGCCCGGGCTATTTTTCAAGGATAGGCGGATGACCGTGTCCAACAAGAAATCCAATTGGCTTAGAAAGTTGTCAGTCGACGTCATAGATTTTCCGCGGTTCCCATTGGCCGACGCTACTGTCAACCGTCGGTGACGTCACGGACGGTTTTCCTGGTGCGCTGTTGTAACAAACACTTCTTGAGCATGACGGGGAGGCTATAGCTAATGGCTCGTGTAGCATTGACTATTAGCTTAAAAACTAGACTACATATAATTTTGCTTTCTTTTCTTTAGAGTTTCGCAGTGTTTCTGAAGGGTTAAAATGTGATAGTAATTCTCGTGTAGGCGTTTTATTCTACACTGCAGTCTTGCCAGTCATTTGGGGCTTTTGACTGAATAACCTTCACTACATAAGTTTTAGCCTAACGCTGGAAAAAAGCTGACCCTATTTAAAGGTAGGTTTGTATATCTGTTGCTGTATTTATCTGTAACTGTGCAATTTCCACTTGTTTAAAAACCTAATATAAAGTCCCCCTTCCAGTCCCCCTTTTAGGGAAATGAATGTTGCAGAGCTAGAAGTCTTACTCTCCTCAACACTATTATAAAAGGTTTGATAACAACCCTCAGTTGTAGAATTCATAACAGTTTAAAAAGCACTATATATATTTTAACTGTGCACATTTCTTTTTAGTTTTCAACACTTATACTGCAGACACCAAATAATTATGGTTTCTGTATTTTGCTTTTCTATTAAGATGCAACTTCTTACAAATATTGAAAGTTCCTTGTTCACATATTGTAAATGAAAATGACAATTATGAGTCTCTGACTGGATTTTCTTATGATTTTACTGTACTAGTATAACCATGTTATAGTAACGGTAGAGATCACGTGATTGAAATTGACCTTCCTTTTCACTCTTGTAGCCACGCTTGATAAATGATGATTGCACACATGCACCAGGCAAATGTTTTGGGGTTTTAATGGCAGTTTTGAATGATTTTCAGCAAAGGTCACTGACCAGACTCCAACTCGGATGTTGTGTATCAAACCCAGTGCACCTGGGCTGCTTACAGTCGCAGGGCTAACTATTCTTTTGGATTCTTTGTGGGAAAACCTCAGTTCACCATCTGCAACTACAAATATTTGATTAAATCCGCTATTTAAAGCCTGAACATAAAATTTTTGGCAAAATAATAAATATATGTGTGTGTGTGTGTATGGGTATATCAGTGACATTAAATAGAGTTAAATGTATTTAATAATTGTTTTGTTTAAAGTGTTTAAAACATTTTATTGGCAACTTACAGTGAGAGGTTGTTTTTTTTATAATGACATGTGAGGCTCTGCCTTTCTTGTTCACACATCACTGGATATATATATATATATATATATATATATATGTCCAGTGTATATATATATGACACGTGTATGTATTTGGGTGCGTGTGTATATATGTATGTATATATATGTGTGTGTATATATATTTGGAAGAATGTCTGAATGTCCAAAAATTTAACTTTTTGGCTCCATTTTTACATTTCGAGAAAAGAAAACGCTGCATTCCAACAGAAGGACCTCATCCCAACTGTCAAACATGGCGGCGGTAATATAATGGTGTGGGTCTGTTTAGCAGCATATTGACCAGGATGGCTTGCCGTCATTGATGAAGCAAAGCATTCTGATTCGTGTCAGAGATGGGAAACGTCAGGAGATCTGACTTTAATCCAATAGAAATGCTTGGAAGGACCTGAAGGGAGCAGTTAATGCGAGTGTAATATGTTTGTCTAATTAGTTTAATGGGGTTCTCTTCACTTTTAGGACTTCGATTATGTTTTGGGTTGTATTTACACTGAAATATAGAAAATCTGGATTTAAAAGTTGCTACTATATCACTTTGCGTCCATCTTTTATGCCGCAAATAACTAAATTATCCGCAAGTAATGTTCTAACGTCTGCAAAATGAACATGTCTGTTTGTTTTGTTTCTACTCCCAGTTCCAGATGGACAAAAACACGCGTAAAGTTCGGAACCAGGACATCAACCCGTGCATCGAGGTCAGTCTGCGGCCGTCTCTGCCCCGCGCTGTCGGACACACACCGCCTCTAACCGGCTTCTCTTTCAGGAAAGCGACAACTCCCAGAAGTGTATGGATGCCTACAACTATGACAAGAGCATGTGTTCCGCCTATTTCCAGAGATACAAGAACTGTAGGAAATATTGGGTGAGTATTTGTAAAGAAAGAGCTACCAGCTCATTGGTAAGGTCAGTCCTGGTCATAACTGGGATGACACCCACTGGTGGTCTAAGGCATCTGCACAGTGAGGCCAGGAAGTGGCTGAGCCGCTGTATTTAGAGTGTAGAAATAGCTAATAACTAGTTAGCATCAATGCTCACCTGTACACGAGTAGCCAGCTGTGTTAGATTGTCTGTCTCACATCACTTTTTAGTCTCTTTTTATAGTAAATAGTTCTGACATCCTGCAAGAAGTAAGTTTTTCTTACAGGATTTACAGTTTTTTGTTTTGTTTTATTGCTAATTCATTTAACTCATTGGCTGCCAAATACGTCTATAGACGTCATTTATGTTTTTCAACGCGAGTGGCTTGGGGGACGATCTGCTAAAGTTTGTTCGTAAATATTCGGCTTCTAAACAGAGTTTGTACTAACAAATTGACCCTCTAGGGGGCAGTGCCACTTTTGATGGGAGATGAGCATAGACTGTAGGCAAATAAGAAAAAGGGAACGGTTCTATGAGAGAACATGTCGCCGGTGAGACGCAAGTCCAGGAAGAACAGAATAAGGTAGAAACAATTTTTTTTTCCTGATGAAAGAAGAGAGTCTACTCTTTCTTTTGGTGTGTTCGGTGTTTACATAGTCATAGCACAAACTATTCCGTGGCTCTGGAAAAATCAGTCAAAATGCTCAAAAAACTCTGGCAGTATGGGACTCTGTTCTGAAAATGGCTGGCAGTCAATGAGTTAATTAATGATTTTTTCCCTTTTTGGATGAACCAATTAACGAATTAATTGAACTTAACCCCACAGGCCACTGAAACACAACCACACATTTGTGTTTCTGTGTGTTTAGTCTCCAAGTTCAGGTCGAAATAACAATATGAAGACATTGAATTAAGGCGTGTTTCCGGTAGAGGTGCTGGTGGAGTGCAGCCCCCCCCCCCCCCCCCCGTCCGATAAAGGCCCGCCGCGTGTGACCGCTGGCTTTGCTGTGCTGTGTTTTTAGCACAACATCATGGTGCAGAGGCGGAGGGACGGCGTGAGGCCGGACATGCCCACCGCAGCCGAGAGGCTGGAGATGATCAACGCCATCGGAGGGAAACCCTACTAAAGGGACCCGCTGAAAACCAGGAAACCGGAAAAGGAGCCCCGGCAGTAGGACTTCACTGGAGCAGCTCTTCCCCACAGAAGACCCGTTCTGGATCTGACCGCTTTCCTGTGGAAAAGCAGCTGTTAGCAACACAGTATTTATAGAGAGATATTTAATTGCTGTAAAGGTTTTCTTATTTTTGCCATGAGATCTGCCTGTGTTGATTTATAATCGTGTTTATTCACTCAGAATGTGAACGGTGCTCATATCTCATGAAATCATGATGTCAGAGACCCACTGCCTGTCTGCAGGAGGCCGTGGGCCCTCCGGAAAAGGGACTGTCTGAAATTCAAAGAGATCTGGACACTCACTCTGCTTGTTACATGTCCAGCTCCACACACTGTTCATGTGTCACCAACATGTCCTTATCCAATTAAATATTTTATCTACATTGTGTACCAGAATCTTTATTTTTATCCTCCAGGTTTATGTTTATGCATTTAGCAGACACTTTTATCCAGAGCCACTTACAAAGTAGAGCTGGATTTATTTATTTTTCTGTATAATTTTCATACATAATATGCTCTATTATTTCTTACCAATAGTTTTTTTCTTTTATATATAAAAAAAGAAGCTGAGGGGGTGTTTTTAGGTGCTGGTAATGGAGTGCTAACGTGTAGGCAACTTCTGATAAATCCAAGTCAATGTGACTTATGAAACTGAGTCACTATACAAATTCATAATCCACATTCAAAGTCAGTTTTTTTCTCATCCCACGTGGATTCAGGTTCTGTTCACCGGAAGGTGCTTCTCCTGAGCATTCCCATTTTAGGGTTTCATTTATAATGATATTCATCCATTTTTTATGTGAATAAGGTTGCATCTTAACTCTAACGTGCTCATGCGGTACAAAAACATCTAAACTTTAACGTCAGTCAACAGTCAGAGCCTCATCCTGCCGGACTGTAATCTTTAGGAACAAATACAGTTTTAGTCGAACCGGGATTCCGGAGAACGGGGCGCCTACAGATCTGTGAGGTCGGTCATCATTTCCATCTCCATCCGTAAAGTATCCTGACCTATCGATGTTTTGTAGCTTAATCCCGAATGATAACTCTTTTTATCTGATCCAGTCACGATCAGGCTGCAGCTACATCGCTCAAATGGACATAAACGTTTACTAAACGGACTAAATTAACTTAACTAACATTAACAAGAGCTTTTCTTTGAGCATGTGAAGTTTTAAAATGGATTTAAGAGGTAGTGTTTGTTGTGGAGACTTTAACGTAACGTACAATCAAAATAACTCTAAGGAGAGATAGTTCATCCATGCAAAATTGACTTTTTTGGCTTCTGCAGATGGCTCCAAAGTCAATTTGGATCTCCATAGCAGACCTGTGCATGCTTTGTAAAACTTTCATGTAAAGATTCGAGCTTCTGCACACATTTTAGATGAAATACTGTGATTTTATTTGAAATAAAAGGTTTATCCATGTAGCATCAGTCCATATAGAAACTCACTGGCTGCAGATGGATACATTTCCATCACCAGGACTGAGTTTACTGTGCCTCATGTTAAGTGAACTGAGGTTTAATATTTTATTTATCTAAACGTAAGAGCATAAATAGCCTTTATAACCATCACGGTCAAATGTGGAACTCTGATTTGAACAAACTGTCAATTTTTGGTTCACAGATTTTGCTGCTGACTAAGTGATTCCATGGATGTTTATGTTGATCTCTGCCATTCATTCGGGTAAGTTAAGTGTTTCCTGTTGGTTTTTGCTTGAATAGAAGTTACTTTCATTTCTGAAAAGATCCTAGTTTTAGTTTACCGTAGTTTTTTTAGTTTGGCCAATTCGTCAGTGTAAAAAATGGCAGCTTCCAGAAACATTCAGGATATCCGTCACTCTTTTAGCTGCTTAGCTTTGTCTTCTTTCTGTAGAGTCAGCAGATATTAACCAGTTATTATTGTCAGATTGATTATAACTGTAACATTGAGTCTATTTTGTAAGTCACTTTGGATAAAAGCGTCTAAATGCAAAAACATAAACAAAGTAAACATAATTGATAATTCATCTGATATAGCATTGTTCTAAATTGGGATTACATCGTGTGTAAAATCTTTTTTTTAAATGGTAAATTCACCGTTTGAAATGCTTCCTAGGCTTCCTGAATGGATCGCATCCGTACTCTACGCTGCCAAACGCCTCAGGAGTGACCGTGCCCGTAGGAAGAAGGCCTACCGTCTCCTGCAGAGAAAACTGGTGCGTACTGAAGCCACACTTCAATGGTTTGAAGCCCGTAGCATGCTTTCTTTGACAGGGTTTTACAATCAAACCCTGGAGGTTTTAAAGTAAACACAAGCTGGTTGAATTCATAAATCCTCCAGGATGTAACATACTGTTGAGGCATACCCAGAAAAGACTAGGATAAGCCAAAAGAGCTGAGTTTAAAACCACCTGAACCTGATAAGCAAAGGAAAAATGACAGAATAATGGAGGGAATGGGTGATGGGACGGGTTATACTATGATTGAATTTCCATAAAACCAGTCGTTTGGTTTTACTGCCGCTTTTGAAGTATTTCATCCATCTTTCCCCCTCCATCACCTGCCTTTATTCCAGTTCTTTCACAGGACTGGTGAGAAGGAGAGGGGTCTTCGTCAGCCTACCTACGTTTACCCACAAGAGGTTAAAATGTTGATGCGCTCTGCCTTCCCCAAGGACGTCAGCAACCATCCAGATCCCTGCCACGACCAGGTGAACCCTCTGACTGAAACCGTAGGCCAAGGTTTATAACCATCTTCGCTAGTGAAATAGGTATTTTTCACATAGAGTAAAAAATATAAACAGTATACACTGAATACAGTTTGTCTCTCATCCCTCAGACTAAGCCTCAGGCCAAATAACATGTTACATCTCAATAATGGAGATTTCATATCGATAATTACTTCTTGTCAAGCTGCAGATGATATGTGATCTCTTATAAATAGTATAGCTGCATTTTTAATCAACTGAAAATTAAGGACTACCCTTTAATGTTCATTTTCATTACACATAGTGTTATAAATCTTTCTACTGCAATGGAATCCTAAATAATTAGCCATAAATGAGGATTATAACCACTTCCGAAGACAATACTGCACTCATCAACTAATTTAAAGTGTTTAGGTTTGGATGCAGTACCATTTTAAGGATGAAACTTTGTAAATATAACAAATGTTATTTACTATTTTGTCAGTTCTTTCAGTGTTAAACAAAGTTGCTGCATACATATGAGATAAGGTCAGTAATGACTGATGTTTGGTCATTTATTTATAACAGTTTGTGTTTTTTCATATTGTTTCAGGTGGTATACATCACTGTAGAGGATCTGCATAAAGTACAAATCAATTAAAATGTATTTATCCAAATGAATCTTATGTTCACCTGCATTGATGATGCACAACCAGCGGTTATAGTTTTATTATAGAAAAAATGTTTTTCTTTAATGTTTTTCTAAATGTTTTGTTTTTTCTTTAGGTTGTTTTACATATATTGTTGACATGGATAAAGGTGTTTGACTTTGTCCTGGTAGCAGAACATTCCACGCAGATATTTGATTGTTATAATGTTTTTTTCAGTTTTCACTGTTCCCTTCTCCTGAAACATTGTTTATTGTTTGTTAATAAGGTTGAATAAATGAATATTTCTCAACTCCCAGTCACTGTAGACTGTTATTTTATGATAGTATTTGAATCTGGACATGGAGCCGGTCAGCTGCCTCACACAGGTGAACTTTGTGGGCAGAACTTGCTCAGTTTTTACTGATAAAATACCAAAAATACCCCATTCTTTAAATTGATTCTGCCAATAGGTGGCACTCTAAATCTAAAACACGGGTTATGACTACTTGCAGAGCTGTGGAAGAAACCAAGGCAACAAGTGCTTTGGATTTGAGCGAAGATTTGGAACCGGTCCACTTTTTTTCTTCCAAAATAAAAGCTTCTACTTTGAAAAACCGGAGGGCGTTCGCACCGGAAGTGCTCACTTGACGCACGCAGCTTGACGCCAGGCGGAGAAGGTGTGCAGCTCCGTTGGAGTCATTTAAAGTTCAGTCCCAGGGACAAAACCGGGTGCGAGGAGGGGGAAAACACCGTGCGCATCAGGGGATCTACCGGGAGTGGAGATCGGGTCACCTGAGAAGGCTTCCGGTGCCCAGTGTGCGGGTCACCGTCCATGGAGAGGGCGCAGAAACATAGATACGGGAGCAGGAGGCTGACCCGGGCGGAGGGTCCGGCCGGCGGGGGTCAGCCCGAGGCGCGTGTGTGCGGGTCCGGTCCGCCGCCGGACGCCTACCGGACCGCCAAGCTGAGCCTGGCGGCCTACCTGCTCTGCTGGACCCTGTTCAGGTGGTACCAGGTGAGAGCGCGCGTTTGTTTAGACTCCAGATGTAGGCAAAACATCCGAAAAGAAGACTTTTAAGTGTCCAGAAACCGGATGCCCACAGTAGAATAACTGTAATGGTTAAATACCCACATAAGAAGTGGAAGATTCCTCTTTTCCCCCCCCAAAGTGCTTTAAGTTTGTTGGAAAAATATTGATATTTGATATGCTTGTTCCTACCCCCTTTCAATGACATCACTTCAGACACCTTCATACATTTTTTGTAACTTCTTCCTGAATTTGAATGCATCAAACTTTACATCAGCAGTTTTGAATCACAACCAAGCTCCTCCATGGATGGAACCAAGAATATGTCTGGTTGTTATTGTTAGAAATCTAGAAGTAAAATATGTTGTGAGTTTTGGAAACAGATCAGGCTTAAGGGGCCTGGATAGTGGTTTTCTTCCGTGCAGTTTATGGTCAGGTGGATGCTTTTACTGTGACATTGTGGCTTTCTGTGGATGGGAGAGTCTGCTAAATGCATAAACACAAGCGTGGCTACAAATCAAACCAGTTAAGTTTTTAGTTTTTGTCTGATCTGATGCACTCTTTAAATTTTTTTATTTTATTTGTTGTGATTTTTGTGGAAAGAAAATTCACATTTTTGATTTACTCCCACTAAATCTGTAAGATTTGATTTAGTCAACAATCTGATCTCTACAATTTCAATACATTTTATTCATATTTCAAATGTTTTTTTGTGTTTTTTTTTTAAATTTGCACAATCTAAAAAAACAAAACAAAGTAAATCATCTGACTGTTCTCCAGCAGGACAGCCATGTCCTCTCTTTTCCTGCTATGCAGGAAGAACAGAATGATTTTAAGGAAACCATCGGTGGCTTTCTTGGTTTCTTCATCATCACCGTGCATCCTCTTCTGATTCCATCTCTAGTATTCTTTGAATCCTGCTCAGTTGACTCTGAACAAACTCACTGATGTCACTCTTAAGAAACGTGAATATGTCCTGCTCTGATGGTGTGCATGTGCCTATACTGAATAAGAAGAATCCAGGAATCGGA